GTATCTCGCCAGGACCCAGGAAACGTGAAAGCAGATCAAGAGTCAAGTTCTCTGGTCAAAGGGGCACATCTAAACTAAAGCAAGAAGTCAGTACCAAAGGTCATTGCCGAAGGTTATACCTGTTCGCCAAGGGATACACATGTCATGCCTGTTCAGATAGGGATGTGTCTGTACGTGCAGTCAGTGTGCCTGTTCGTGCAGAAAGAGAGTGGCTATTCACACAATATAGATGTCTGTTCAGGCAGTGAGTGTGTCTGTTCGTTCAAAGTTGTGCCTGTTCAAAAGTAAGTCAATAAACAGAGTCCCAGTTCTGGTCTATGTCTGATGAACAGTCCACATTCRGAGGTCCAAGTCCAAATCCAAGTTGAAGGGCCTCAGCAGCAGCAAACCTCATTGGGACAAGTACTGGGACACATGCAATGCAGGGTCTGGGACAAAGGAAGGCCTGAAATGAGCCAATGCAGACCCAGCGTGAGGAGGCCAGCACTATAAAGGAAGCAGCCAGCCTCATTTCACGCCAGATCTCTACTGGCATTCTGTGCGTGGAAGTGCTGAAGCACTTGTGCGCCAGCCAGGAGGAGCAGCSCTGGAGGATGGAGATGCGCTAGAGGAGAGAAGCAGAMTGGGCGCTGGGGAAGAGAAGCAGCCATAGCTGCCCAGCGAGTTAGTAATAGGTTAGAGGGTTAGTAGTAGTCTTCTATGAGTACCATTCAGAGTAGATCCTTGAGAGAGAGAGGAGAGTGTGCATGCATAGAAGAAGAGAAGAACCGTGACAGAGAGTGTTCAAGGAAGATTCAGCTATGGTGGCTACTTACCTGAGTTGACTGTAGTCTGCAGGGGTGGCACTGCTGTGTAGCAGCCACATTGACGAGTTGGAGAAGAGATTTGTGTTGCGCTGGTTGAGCGCTTGAACTCAGGGAACTATGACACTCTTTGTAATCATGTTATTGATAATATAAGCTGCGCAACTCGGTTCTCTTCTTACCTCTCTTTTGTCTAATGTGTGAAGACTTCAGTTCATTGTGTATGATGATGATGCATGCTGTGAACACTCTTACGTGAGTTGGTCCCCAGGACCCATGCAAATTTGGTATCGGAGCTTGATACTTGTTGCTCTCATAGCGCTGGCGTGATCAAGGCCGGCGAGGAGGAGGAGTGTTGAAGATATGGTGGAGGATTAGTGGAAGGAAGTGAGGAGGAGAGAAGGAGGAGGATTAGTAGTGGGAGCAGGCCGAAGAAGAAGGGGCTTATGATACTTACCTGGAGCGTGCGGCGCGACAAGGAGCGACATCGAAGGACTTCAACAAGAGAGAAGCACCTCTGCCCCCTGACCTGCATGCATGCGTGTGTCCCCTACCTCTTTCTCTCCCTCTCTCTCTCTCTTTCCCTCTGAAGGTGACTGCTGCTGCTGGTCATAAGTCGGATCTGGATCTGGACCACCACAAAGAGAGTCAGAGTCTGGTTATCAGAGTCTGAGTGGTCCAGTAGAATCTCGCCAGAGTCTGGTCGTGTCAGAAGTGGTCAGAGTTCTGTAAGTAGAGTCTGTGCTGCCTTCTCTACTCCTCTTGATAGGTAGGATTGCGCAAGGTTACTGGAAGCTGGAACTCGACATGTATAGAGAGTGAATGTCACGTCAGATTGCAAGAACGGGGCAGTGCAAGTATATTGATGAGCATCTATAAGACTAATTAAAGAAGAAAGAAAGAAAAAATTTAATCGAAGTACTATTGCCCGGTTGATCATGTGTGATATCTGCATCTGACATCCATGCGTTCCAAGTCCTAACCTGCATCCAGACAACAACAAACGTTAGTACAATCAGGCAAGCTATGCAGGGGGCCTAAGAAAGCAATCATAAGTAAGAGACAGGCAGCGTGATTCTGATCCAGTAAGCAGCCAGGCAGCAAGAATCTGCACGAAGGAGGATTGACAGCGGAAAAAAAAAAAGAAATTCGTTACTACCTCCTGCAGACAGTAAGAAGTTGCACAGGAAGTGTCTGAATATTTCTTTATTATTATTATCTGTTGTTGCAGCACCTCAGAGTTAAAAAAAAAAAAAAATTGTGCATATCCCCATTGCCGAAAGGTAAGTCTAGTAGTGTTCTGACTGGGATAGTCGCCTGTTGGACCGGCGGAGGCTACCCCTGTGCCGATATCCAGCATGGACGATTATCCCATGCAGGGCCTGTTGGCCCTGTCTGTTCTCATGGGGCCCTTGTTCAGATTGTTCTTCCCGTTGGGATTTGGGAGAACTTGTACCTCTAGGATGATGTTGAGGTCAGGGAACATTAAGCCGGGCCCCACACCCGAAGAACAGAAAGAGATTGATCGCCGGCAGGCAGAGAAAAAGAAAGAAAGGGAATATAAGAAAAGATTGAAAGAAGAAGAAGTGAAGAAAAAGTTGAAAGAAAAGATGGAAAGAGAATTAGAAGAAGAAATGAAAAGTATCCAAGACGAAGAAGAAGAAGAGAAGGCTGAAGGGGAGAGGTTGCAACGACGCCAACCCACTGATAAGCCTGAGAGTAGTCGTGCAGCTGAGGCACGCCCGCTGTTGGTTCAGCCATTGGACTGGGCCAACCAGCACGGCTACTCCAGCGACCAGCTTCAAGAATCAGAAGAAGAAAGAGATGTGTTCATAGCTAAGCTGGCAACCATCGCTGACAAAGCAGAAAGGGATTTGCTGCTGGAAGAAAAGAGAAATGAATTGCATGCCAAACTGTTAGCAACGAAGAGACAAGAATTAGAGGAGAAAAAGAGGCTGCAGGCAGAGGGTGAAAAGTTACAAACCGCGTTAGAAGCGCAGAAAGGAAAGGAAACGGCGGCAGACGAACAACTCACCCTTCTCAGAGAGTCTCTCCTCCAGACAAGGAAGGAGATGGCAGCAATGAATCAGACGCTACAGAAGGTAGAGACTCATCAAACAGAGTTTGAAAGTGTCTGGAATACATTTCTGCACAAGTCAGCGCAAGATGTGGATAAGCATATCCAATCCTATATTGTAAAGCTAGATGAGCACATTACTACTACCTTCACACCGGAAGTAATTGAAAAGATAGTGAAAGGAGCCGGAGGTGGAGGAGGGGGCGGCGGCGATGATGGAGACGATGGGGATAAGAAGAAGAAAGGGGTGCAGCGTGAAGAAAGTGATGTAGGCAAGGTAAACAAGATTAAGTTGAAATTGCCATGGACATATAACGGTAAAAAGGAAGAGAGCGTTTTGCACTGGATTGCAGCAATTGAGTCATATTGTTATGGACAGCGAGTCCCATACTGGGACAGAGTGCTTATGGCCAGTTCCTGCATGGCGGGAGACGCAATGAGTTTTGCGATCTCTTTGCAGAAGGAAGCGGGATGTCAGACGTTAGTGGAATATTGTCAGAAAACTCGTCTGGAAGATTTTCTCAAAGTCGTCAGAGAACGGTTCGAGGACAAGAACTTGGCCCGTCGAACCGAAATGTTAGGATTGAATTTACCCGAAAGGAAGTGGAGAAGCACTTCAGCACTCAAGTCTACTATGGATGAACTGTTGCAGCAAAGCATTGAACATGGCTTGACCCCCGCACAAATTTTGAATAGCTTTGCCCGTGCACTCCCTGAACCCCTTCGCTCTCAACTGTATCCCCGAACAAAGGAAGAAGGAATGACTTACGAGAAGTTCAGCAAGATCGCATTGGATCATGCTGGCTTCTTAACTAAGGTTAACTACTGCCACTATTGGAAAGATCTGCAAGCGGGACGAAAGTGGCAAAATCGTACTATCTCATGGTCAATACCTGGGAAGGACAGCCTCCTCCTAACCTTTGAGGGAGGAGGCATGGAAACCATCCCTTGGGACCAAGTGGATTACGGTCTTGAGGAATTCAACGAACCGGTAGCTCAGGAGGGGAGCTACGCGGCCGTTGCAGCCCACGGGGGAGGGCGACAAGGTAGAGGGCGCGGCCGAGGAAGAGGAGGTCGTGGCCGTGGTGGAAGAGGCCCAGGCACCCAGAGGGGTGGTGGCGAAGGTAGCCACTACGTGGGAGGAAGGGGAAACGGTCCCTCGCAAGGTGGCCGTAGTACTTATTCCACCTGGGGTAGAGGAAGAGGCGCATGGTTTGGGAAATGGGATAAACCTTACCCGCCTCATCCCGGTCTTCCCGAAGGTGAACCTTGGAAGAAACTGGGAATAATAGAAAAAGTTTGGCAAGAAAGGAAAGTTGTTGATCAATGCCTTAAATGTGGGGACCCCGACCACATTGTCCCCTATTGCCCCGACTATAGGGGAGCAAAAGGGAACAGCCAGTAGAGGTTCCAGTTGCCTCTACCGGGGCTTCGAGTGTTGAAAAACCAGAATCCTCCCACTCGAAGGCCTCACTGGCAGAGACTGAAGAGGAAGACAGTCCCCATCTAGTGCACTGTCCAGAGGTGGCAAGTGTATGCATCTCTCTAGATGGATCCCTCGCTGGCATAGGTGATGAGTTGGCCGCTCGTCGCCAAGCCTGAACTGAGATGAAGAAAAAGAAAGGGCAGTTAATCCTTGCAGATCTTGAAATAAATAAGGTGAGAGTAGGTGGAATGATAGACAGCGGGTCTACACGCAGCTATATTAGTAAGAAGGGTTTACAAAAACTGCGTCTTGGGCTTAAGATTAAGAAATTGAATGAGCCCATTGTAAGTAAATTAGCTAATAGTAGTGAAATCGTCATGGATCGGTACGTCGAGGGGGTTCAAGCATACTTTCGGCTCGAGGCAGAGCGGAAGGTGGAACGTGTTCTCCACTCTCTGACCTTCTTCGTGGAAGATAGCTTGCCCTTTGATGTGTTGTTAGGCATGGATTGGGGTGAGGCTGTGAATGCGGATCTAAAGCTAAGGGACCATGAATGTTGGCTCCCAAGTCCGCAAGGAGGCAAAAGGAAAATTTGTCTCTATCACGAGTCAGGAAAGGAAAGCAACCTAGCTCATTATTGCACGAGTGCCCCAGCGTTCACTCGCCATGTGAAAAGATATAACTTATATGATCGAGTCTTTGTTGCATATGTGCGCCCAGTGAAAGAGGGTGAAAATAAGGAAGAAGTCAAGTCCCAAGAAATTGAAAGAATCCTGAAAGAGTTCGCAGATGTGGCAGAAGCCCCAAGCGGTGTAGTGGAAAGACCTATTAAGCATCGCATTGATATAATTTCAGGGAGTTCACCTCCTAAGGGGGCTATCTATCGTATGTCACCTCAAGAATTAGATGAACTGCGAACCCAGCTTGATGAATTGCTGGAAAAGGGGTGGATAAGACCAAGTTCCTCGCCCTATGGTGCGCCTGTGCTTTTCGTACCTAAGAAAGATGGCAGCGTTCGCATGTGCATAGATTATAGGAGATTGAATGATATAACAGTGAAAAATGTTGAGCCGTTGCCGCGAATACATGATTTGCTGGATCGTGTGCAGGGATGCAAGTTGTTTGCAAAGATTGATCTGAAATCCGGATACCATCAAATTGAGGTAGAACCGGAAGACCAATATAAGACTGCCTTTAGGACAAGGTATGGGCACTATGAGTTCACAGTTATGCCCTTTGGTCTAACGAATGCCCCTGCAACCTTCCAAAGAACGATGAATGAACTCTTTCGTGAGTGGCTTGATAAATTTGTTGTAATATATTTGGATGATATTTTGATTTTCAGCAAAGATGAGAAAGAACACGCTGAGCACCTTCGACTTGTGCTAAATAAATTACGTGAAGCAAATTTCAAGTTGAACCCAAAGAAGTGTGAATGGGCCAAGCGTCAGGTCTTGTATTTGGGTCATGTAATTGATGGAGATGGAGTCAAACCGGAGGATGCAAAGATTGTCGCCATCAGAGATTGGCCGAACCCCCGCACCTTGACTGAGTTGCGGTCGTTTCTTGGGTTAGCCAACTATTATCGGAAGTTCGTTAAACACTTCACGATGATAGCCGCGCCTCTTCGCAGATTGCTCAAGAAAGAAACAATCTGGAAGTGGGATTCAAGCTGCACATCGTAGTTTAAACGTCTTAAGCAATGTTTGATCAATTACCCGGTTTTGAAAGTTGTTGATCCTTCATTACCCTTTGTTGTGACTACTGACGCTAGTCAATATGGTATAGGTGCTGTACTCCAGCAAGATGATGGGCATGGGTACAGACCTGTGGAGTTTGTCTTGTCGTTTACCTAATGAGAAGGTCGCCACTTCGACCTATGAAAGAGAGTTATACGCTCTTCGAGAAGCTTTGAATCATTGGCGACACTATATTCTAGGAAGGCATTTCAAAGTATACTCAGACCATGAAACACTTTGCTGGCTCAAAACGCAAGCCCGGCTGACACCTAAGTTGACTAGGTAGGCCGCTGAACTCGATCTCTACAATTCTGAGTTGAAGCCAGTTAAAGGGAAGTACAATGTCGTTGCTGATGCATTAAGTCGTAGGTCTGACTTTTTCAGTGTCATTGTAACATATCTAGATATTGGTGCCGATGTCCAAGAAAAGATTCGGAATGCGTATACCCCTGATCCCGTCTATGGCGCAATAATTAAGCGTGTGCAAGAAGCGCCAGCAGAGTTTCCTAATTACAAGGTTACCCAGGGCTTATTGTTTGAAAGGACTGATGTACATGATAGGCTATGCATACCGAATGTAGAAGAGATCAAGAGTGTGATCTTAGGGGAATGCCACGATACCGAAGGTCATTTCGGATGGAAGAAGACCTATGCAAATCTTTTGCTTTCCTACACCTGACCTCGTATGAAGCCTGATTGCATTGCTTATGTGCAAGGTTGCCAAGTGTGCCAACGAAATAAGAGCACTACGCAATCTCCCCTTGGTTTGCTTAAGCCTTTGCCTATCCCAACAGGACCCGGAGACTCTGTGTCTATAGACTTTATGGACACTAAAGTGAGAAGCAGGAATGGGAAAACGCAAGTGATGGTAATCGTTGATAGATTTACTAAGTATGCTGTCTTTGTAGCTCTACCTTCGAAAGCAAAGACTGACTTGGTAATTCGAGAGTTCTTTAACCACTGGGTGAAAGACTTTGGACATCCCTTGACTATTGTAAGTGACAGAGATACAAGGTTCACGAGTGAACAGAGGCAGCAACTAATGAATGTCTATGGCTCTAAGTTGACTATGTCATCAGGTAGGCATCCTGAGACTAACGGCCAGACTGAGCAAATGAACAAAATCTTGCAACAGACATTGCACATGTATATTCGTCCCGACCAGATCGACTGGGATGAACATTTGCCTAAGGTTGTTAGTGCCTATAATAACTCTGTAAGCCTGTCTACATGTAATGCTCCTATGGAGTTACATTTGGGATGGCGACCACGTAGACCGATTGATCGTCTAAACCCAGATCAAGTGCATAAGCTTCCACCAGGGACAAGTGAGTTCGCAATTCAATATCAGAAAGACATTGAGAAGGTAAAAGAGAACATAATCAAAGCACAACATCAAATGATTGAACAGGCAAATAAGCACCGACGACCCTCTCAATTTGCTGTAGGAGATTTGGTTTGGGTGAAGTCTAAGGAATTTGCTCCTGAGGAGAACATTTCTCAAAAGCTTCTACCCGCCTACCGAGGACCTTGGCAGGTCTTAGATGTGATTGGAGATGTGGATGGTCCTTCGTATGTTATTGAGATTCCTTTGCATCTATATACTTATCCAGTGTTCCACGCATCAAAGCTCTTACCTTGTGTAACAAATGAGCTATTTCCAAGTCGCAGATCCGCAATACCTCCAAGTATGGATGGAAAGTATGACATGGATAAGATTGTTGCAGAAAATACCTTTCACACTGGTCGTAGAGGCAGATCACAACGTCAGTATAAGGTCACATTTGCATACCAGGATCCCAGTGAAGATCGTTGGTTTACAAGAGAAGAGTTGTTGGATTTTGCGCCTCATATTGTAACTGCGTATGAAAGAGCAAAGAAAGGAATCAGTATTATTGATCGATGATTGATTTCTCAGAGGACCTCGAAATTAGGCCGTCGAGAGTAAAAGGGCCTTTACCCGATTCAGATCTTGTAAAAGTAAAGCAGCGTGAAGGGGTATCTCGCCAGGACCCAGGAAACGTGAAAGCAGATCAAGAGTCAAGTTCTCTGGTCAAAGGGGCACATCTAAACTAAAGCAAGAAGTCAGTACCAAAGGTCATTGCCGAAGGTTATACCTGTTCGCCAAGGGATACACATGTCATGCCTGTTCAGATAGGGATGTGTCTGTACGTGCAGTCAGTGTGCCTGTTCGTGCAGAAAGAGAGTGGCTATTCACACAATATAGATGTCTGTTCAGGCAGTGAGTGTGTCTGTTCGTTCAAAGTTGTGCCTGTTCAAAAGTAAGTCAATAAACAGAGTCCCAGTTCTGGTCTATGTCTGATGAACAGTCCACATTCRGAGGTCCAAGTCCAAATCCAAGTTGAAGGGCCTCAGCAGCAGCAAACCTCATTGGGACAAGTACTGGGACACATGCAATGCAGGGTCTGGGACAAAGGAAGGCCTGAAATGAGCCAATGCAGACCCAGCGTGAGGAGGCCAGCACTATAAAGGAAGCAGCCAGCCTCATTTCACGCCAGATCTCTACTGGCATTCTGTGCGTGGAAGTGCTGAAGCACTTGTGCGCCAGCCAGGAGGAGCAGCSCTGGAGGATGGAGATGCGCTAGAGGAGAGAAGCAGAMTGGGCGCTGGGGAAGAGAAGCAGCCATAGCTGCCCAGCGAGTTAGTAATAGGTTAGAGGGTTAGTAGTAGTCTTCTATGAGTACCATTCAGAGTAGATCCTTGAGAGAGAGAGGAGAGTGTGCATGCATAGAAGAAGAGAAGAACCGTGACAGAGAGTGTTCAAGGAAGATTCAGCTATGGTGGCTACTTACCTGAGTTGACTGTAGTCTGCAGGGGTGGCACTGCTGTGTAGCAGCCACATTGACGAGTTGGAGAAGAGATTTGTGTTGCGCTGGTTGAGCGCTTGAACTCAGGGAACTATGACACTCTTTGTAATCATGTTATTGATAATATAAGCTGCGCAACTCGGTTCTCTTCTTACCTCTCTTTTGTCTAATGTGTGAAGACTTCAGTTCATTGTGTATGATGATGATGCATGCTGTGAACACTCTTACGTGAGTTGGTCCCCAGGACCCATGCAGTATAGTTTCTACCCTCTCCATCCAGGCAGGGATGATCCACATCAAGTTGAAGGGCAATCGCAAGTTAAGTCTGATGCCGCAGAAGAGGGGTGGCAGTGGCTGTGTAAACAAGCATAGTAGCAGCAAGACCACAGAGACTGCGAAGGATCGCAACGCAACTCCACTGAAGGATCAGGCATCACAGTCATGTTTCTCGTCCTGGTGAGCAGGCTCCGGTGCCGGACACTGCCAACAGTTTGCAGGTTAGGTTACCCAGAGGACGTCCCAGGCCTGGAAGGTCCCAGATTTTCTCTTGGTCAGTCTGACTCCATCATTTGCAGATCACTTGTGGGGCAATTCGCACTTCCGCCAAATGATGTTGGAATCTAGTGATGCTGGGGGCTGCATTCTGAGTTGAGACTGCCCCTCCCATGGGGAATGCACCCTGAGCAGGGACCGTATCCTGTTCTGCAGGTGACTCATGAATCTCCAATATTGTAAAGCATGGGACACGGTCTCGTGACTGCGTGCCTGAAAGCTGGACTGTCCGCACGGTACACAGGAGCAGATATTGCCATTTGGATAAGGGAACAGCAACAACCTGTGGAGCAGGCACGGAGAGAATCAGGGAACACTAAGTAACGGGCTGTTGGTCTTGTATGAGCGACAATACGGTGCATGTTTTTGACAATACACAATAAGAGGAGTTGGGGCGTGGCAAACCGGAGATGAGCATGTGTCCGAGAACGACGATGGCACAACGGGACAAGAGAGTCTGTTTGAAAACGAGACCGTGGAGGAGATGATGGGGGCGAGGAGGAACACCGCCAATAGCGGCCAAGCACAGAAAGAGAGGATAGGCATGTTGATTGGGCAAACGTTTGAAATAAACGATGTGAGCCTCAGGAAGGCAGTCATGTTGTCTGCACTGGAACTGCAGAGAGGAAGCTGTAGTCATGGAAACTGCTGCCACAGTGAAAACTGCAAGAGTGGAAACTGCATTAGTGCAAAGCGCTGCATGAAACTGTAGCAGTGAAAACTGCAAGAGTGGGAACTGCAGCTGTGGAAACTGCTGCGCGCAAACTGCAACAGTGGAAACCACAGACCTATCACTAGCAGATGAGCAAGTAGGGGCAGGACAAGAGTTTTGCGGGGACAAGGAAGAAACATTGCAGCATGTGTCTTAACCACTGAGAGAGACGTGTCACATGCATAGGACAGCGGTTCTGGCGAGAATGCATGTCGCACGTCCATCCCTTCACAAGGGCCGATGGGAGATGCCAATGAGAAAGCATGCTGCCAGTAAGTGAAGTTCCCACAGTTTGAAAGTCTCACCAATTGTTTTAGATTTGTTTGAATCTGGCCAATTGCCCACCACGGCTTGAAAGCCCTGACAATTGTTACAGATATGTTCAAATATGTTCAATTTCCCAGTGAACACACCATCCGATTGATGGGAAGGGATACTGGAGTCTTCACTTGGATAGCGAATGATAGGGAAGTGTCAGGCAGACGCTTTGTCAAAAACACTCATGTAAAACGTGCCATCAGAGCGGACCCGTAGCTGCTAAACCTAAAAAGGTACAGGAGCCATCCGGCATTGTAGTTTCCTTCCACTCGAGGCCGTAGTGCTCAACCGTCTTCACTCGAATACAACGTACAGTCATTATAGCTGTATTTGGGGTATCTTTCAGTCTAAGTACAGCAATAATGACCTTACATTGTATTCGGGTGAAGACCGTAGTAGTAGAGGTGGTAATTGCCCCCATGAAGAACATTGTCAATGAAGAGATAAGTCAAAGCACACTGCTCATCAGCTCCAACATCACACTGACGAATGTCATCAGCAAACCGCATTATATTGTCGAAGAGAACTGCCTGGTGAACTGTAGGCAGAAAGGGAGAAAACCACAAGAAACAGGGGAGAGTGTTGGGGGGGGGGGGAGCATGACAGAGTGTCTCGTTGGCATTGCACCTACTCATCAGGAGGCTGAACCATATGTAGTCACAGAGAACTGCCCGGTGGACCATAGGGAGAAACATGATGTGCAATACCCGTATACATTGCCGATTCAACGATTGGTCACAGATCTATCAACTAACAGAGCACACACCGTAGCACATAGTAATATATGTCATGCAGAAGATGGAATGATGAAAGTTTATGAGGCACACAGAGAGTATTTGGTGAACTCAGCTTCAGGGAGTTCCAGCACCTTCTTCTCACAGTATCTGCAGCTTCAAGGGGGAAAAAGAATGGCAGTTCATCGTACAACCGGTTTGCACCTCCATCAGCACAGATATGTAGCTGCCCTGCCAGTCACATGTACGTAACGTAACATAAGGTAAGTATTAAAGCACAAACAAATGCTCGCCAGGGCAAACTTTACTGGAACGAGAACAAGATTGGTGATGACCCATCAGTTTCTATAGGGCCACAACATTATTCTTTGATGGGTCGTGTGGCACTCAAGTGCCATGTGGTGATTGGGCGGCTTCCCCTCTCATGACTGGAGGAAAGAATTAAGGCGATCTGGCCACAAAACAATTTTCTCGCCAGCCCGCGCCGGGTGTTAGAAGCTTGGGTACTGCTCCCCGCACAAGAGCAGAGACAGGCAGGCGTACTCCTCCCCGCACAAGAGCAGAGACAGGCAGGCGTACTGCTCCCCGCACAAGAGCAGAGACAGGCAGGCGTAGACCCATAACCTTAGGATACTCTTGCTCCGGGTAAGGAATTTAAGCCCTCTCCCGGATTTCATAGGTCGAGCTGTCTAGCCTAGGGTAGTACCGTAGGTAGTGAGAGGTATATTGAGAGAAGAATATAGGATAGCAAAAAATACAGCTGTTCCCCATATGAGGAGAAAACAGACTATTTTTTTCATATAAAAAAAGGGGGAAAAAAAAAAAAACAATTTTCCTTATCCCCCAATAGGACGTATGCCACACGGTCATTATCACTGTATCAGTGTATCTAGACTGAAAATTACCCCAAATACATCCGTAATGATCATACAATGACATATATCCCATTAGGGGGAAGACGGTAGATGGAAATTGTTCCGTTTCAAGATTGCCTTATTCTATGTTTGGGTCATTTGGGGTGCAAGTCACTGAGGTCTTCCTCCACCTCTTATCTTTTTTCCTAAGGGGGTAACCCTGAACCTTATTCTACCTTATTGTGTTCATTTGATTCCATCAAGATTCAAAGTTGAAAAAAAAAACAAAAAAGGGATTCAAACTTATGCTCAGTTTACTAAAAGTTGGTACATATGTGCACTATTCCGACACATAGGCCGGGTACAAGGAGGCCTTCCTCATCTTGCTCACCCAACAACTTTGCTCCTGGGATGAACAATCTCTGCTAATACTTGAGTGTTATGTCCCTAACACCCTCACCCTCATTGACAGGAACTTAGGAGTCAAGTAGCACCAGAGAATGTTCACAAGCTCGACCGTCGTGTGTAGGCATGTAAGCAGACGCCAGGGCTTTGAACGCAGCAGCCGTAATCACACACAGTAGGGCATTGAATTCATCCGTTTAAGTACGAGTGCATAGCTCTACATAGCAGCTAGCAGACAGCTATATATAGCAGCAGTGCAGTCTAGCTCTACATAGCAGCCTGGCTCGACTTGGAAGCCTCGCTCTACATAGCACTCTGCATAGTAGCCAGGTCTACACGTAATAGTCTGGCTCTACATAGCAGCATAGCTCTACTTAGCAGCCTCACTCTACATAGCACTCTACATAGCGGCCAGCTTTACGTGGTAGCCTAGCTCTACATAGCAAGTATACAGATCAAGTACACAGCGGCCAGACCAGGGTTCAGCCTTCCATTCTCTCCTGGTTCTGCAACCCCTGGTGTGTTTGATCCTCCCCTCTCTCACAGCCACATGCGAAACCACAGCGAGCAGCTAACTTGCTGGGACAAAAAGTATAATAATAATAACAATAACCTTTCCGAACCCCTTTACAGTTCAAACCCTTTTCTTTAAATTTGAAGTTCTAAGCCCTTATTATAACCCTAACAGAGTGTCTGGCAACAACGTTTTGACAAACATGAAGTCTGCCCTCTGAATGTCATGCACATTTCCCCTGTGGGATCGACAGCCAAACAGATGATCGCTTCCCACCGCTCGGAGACATTATCTAGAAATTCTAGCTCACGATCTGACCAGGATTCCTCAACAGGCGGGTTTACAATTATCCGTGCTACATCGTCTGGCCCTGACAGCTTGGTAATCTAAGCATCATTTCCTGCTCTTTTTTTGGAAAGAGGGGGAAGGGGGGGGAAGGGTGTTGCCATTCCGCCAATCCATGCATTGCGCTCAGATACACGGCATTTATGATTTATTAACACATTAAGTAATTACCAACAGTTATTAACCTAGAAGTAATTACTGACACTTACTGAAGTTAATAACTTAGTTATAACTTATTAGTAAATATTAGTAATTACTAAGTTACTAACACTCGCTAGTAATTACTAATTTAATTACTATTTTTAATTGTACTTAGTTAAACTTAAAACTCACATGTTGTATTGTTCCTTTCAACTGACTTTGCACCATGAATTATCAACAGTTGTTCAAAAGCTGTATTATTTACTTTCATGAAGTTTCATCTTAATTTGCACCATAAATTGTCACCGCTTGAGTAGTGTTAATGAACTTTTTGACCTTTTGAAGTGCCTTTGTACGTTACAGACAGGACAGGAAAGGCAAAACAAAAGTGCAAAAAACAAAGACTCAACAAAAGAACTGGAGAGAGAAACAAAGAGAGAGAGACAGAGTGAGAGAGAGAGAGAGAGAATGGAGGAAAGAAAAGGAAAAAAGAAAACTCAGAGTTTCTCCTGATGTCTTGCTGGACATGCCAATACATACCTACTGGAAAATGCGTTTGTGTTTGGTATTTTACTTTTCCCTTTACTTTTATTTTTCAAATCAACAATCTTGATAACAAGATTACAATGTCAGCAATCTCAGCAGCACTCAGTGGCGACAAAAAAAAAAAAGGAAGAACTTGCAGTAGGAATGAAGCAGAGATAAGGGGGGTGGGAAGAAAAAAAGAAGAACGAAAAAAAAACAGCAGACACACAGAAGAAGTTGGCAGAACAAGAGAGAGGAACTTTGCAGAAGTGATCATGTAGACATAGGATTTAAGGGGGGCCCCGGGGAAGGAGGTCGGAGGGAAAAACGAAGCAGACACACACAGATAAAAACACCAGAAGAAGGAAGGGTGTAGAGGGAGGAAAGAGGAAATACTTCCGAAATAGGGCTTCTAACTATTTGCAACTGTTTGGCGAAAAGAGCAGAGCTCCCCCCCACCTTGTTTCCAGAGTGCCGGCGTGCAAATGGGAAGCTCCTGGTTAAGAATAATAATGATCAAGTTGTGCGTCAAGCTGCTCACTGGCGACTGCAAGGCCTTCTCATCAATACAGAAATCTGTGACATGGTGAAGCTCAGGTTGAAGCGAATGCAGCGACGGCATGGCAAGATCAGACGCACTCCTCTCATTGTTGTGAAGTGTTGTGCCTACAACTCTGTCCACGAACGATAGCGAGGACGACATCTTCGATGCCTGATCCCCACCGTAGGTAGAATTCCCTGTTAAGAGTTGTTGTGTAAGCCCCCTCTTATCCTCCTCAAGAAAGGAGGGAGGGAGCGCCGAGACTTTGCAGACCCTGCTAACCCCTGCAATTGTGCGCACATTTGGATGTATATGTATATGAGCTGCTGATTTGCCAAAACTGCCTTGCAGCACTGGCAGCCCTCCAGCCGGAACTGCCATTAATCATCACCGTCGTTGAACAGCTTTTTTCATCAACCAAATTACGTGCTCGTACAGGCGACTGAGAACAAAAAAACACACAGAACACAAAGACAAAAGTCACAGATGTCATGCACTCCAGTGAAGCTCAGGATTGCCCATTCAAACGACTGCTCGTGGAAAAAAGAACTCTCCCCTTATTCTTCTCTTCTTCTTTTTTTTTGTTAAGGTGCATGCTTCTCTCATTTCAACCCTCACACTACCTACCTACCACTACTCCTAATTATTGTCATACGGGGAACCCCGTAGCAGCCAGAACCGTGTTCACGAGAGAACATGGGGGCTGCTCTCGACCTGCAGGTCGGCGATACCGGCGACGGGACAGCTGGTAGCATCAGGGACCATGCCAAAGGGACCAAACCCTGTGCCTCTCCTCAGGTCCCCTCCCCTACGAACATCAGCAGACTCTAGGTGGCGGGCGCCAAGCCTGCCCAGAAAGGTACATGAGGCCAACGGGGATTGAACCCACGACCTCCTGAACGCCAGATGTGAGCCTTACCAGCTGAGCTAGGCTGTCTATTCGGGTGAAGATGGTAGGATCATTGGACGTTCATAATGAGGGAAGATAGCCGAGAGCCTTACCTTTGATGGAAGACGGTGGGTGGGCTGTCACCTATCAGAGTGACAAATGAACAAGGGTGAAAGGCGATTTGATGAAAGGGGAAAAGGTTAAGAAATGGGCAGCACGAGTTTCGTGAAGTCCAATCATCTGCATCTGCATCTGCATCTGCACCACCTGCAGATGCAGATCATGCATCCGACCACCTTCACCTTCCAAATCTTGACTGCTGGTCCTCCGTTCACCTGCCCATTAACATCCGACCATCAATCTGCATGTGGTCATCTGCACCCTCCAGGGACAGATCATGCATCCGACAACTTCGCCTTGCAAATGGAAACTACTGCTGGGCCTCTATCCATCTACCCATTAACATCAGACCATCAATCTGCATCTGGTCATCCGCACCCTGCAGAGACAGATCATGCATCCGATCACCTTCACCTTCCAAATGTGGACTGCTGGCCTCTATTCCAAACATGATTATGAAACCTCTTGGGCGTATTCTTGGAATTTCCCCCCTCCACCCGTTGTACCCTGCAGATGCAGATCATGCATCCAATCACCTTCACCTTGCAAATGCTTGGGACAGAGGCCCAGCTGTCTTACATTTGTGTGGTGGAGGTGGCCTCATGTATGATCCACAAATTTGGGGGAATCGCTAGAATAGGCCCATAGGGGAAACGTAAAGAACAAGGAACAAGGTGGTTGGCTCATAAAACGTAAAGAACAAGGAACAAGGTGGTTGGCTCATAAAACTAAGATGTTAAATCACCGGCAGACGGACCACTTCTTCGTGTCCTCCTTTGTTTTCTGCTGTCAATGCAAACACTGAGGCCATGAGATCGTCAATCCAGCGGATCACCTTAAAAAAGGTCATGCCTATTGCTAGTGTCAGGATCTGGTTCCTCGGCAGGCCTAAGGGGGGCCCCTGTTGCATCTGCGCCCGCCCTAAGAGAAGGCGGGCCTACCAAATCACGAGAAGCCCTCGGCAGTCAATTTCGCATTTGGGATCCAGGCAGTTTCGTTGCGCCAGTTGGTTGAAGGAAACACAGGCCGAGCAGCGAGGAAAAAAAAAAATTGCCAGGCCTTCTAGGCTTTTCCGAAAGCGCAGGCCCTGGGCGAGATTCGCAGCCTCATACACAGACAGTTGGGGGGGCCAACCGAATGAGGCCCAGTAGCTGCACCAGAGGCGCAGCATCCTGGGGCCTACCAAAAGCTTCTGGGCCCCGGCCCAGGGCAGCCAGGCTGCGAAGGCAGGCCAGCTCTTTTCCATATAGGAAAGAGCTCGCTGCCTGGCCTCTCATTCAGGCACTCGCATGCTAGCGGCAGCGCTGCTGGAGCGRMCGCTCGTGGGCTGCTGCTGGCGCTGAGAGGCGAGGTGCTAGCGCATGCGGTCGTGCAGGGAGCAGGGCGCTGCTGAGGGCAGCGCCATAGCCCAGCCTCCATAGCTGGTTGGGCTTGGACTACAGTGAGGCGACGGGGTGGTCTTCGGGTGTACAGGGGGAAGACGTGGGTGTAAGACAAGGGCGAGGGAGAAGGATGATGATGATGATGATGATGATGTGAGGGCACATACCTGGTATTGGCAATGGTCTGCTACGGGCGACATCTTCAAGTACTCCGTGGGCTGCTGACGTCAACAGTTGCGTCGTCAATTAGTAGGCAGACTGTAGCTGTGTAGGGAGTAGGCTGGGCGCCGAGCGCCAAGTAGGAGATAGGGCCTGGACACTCATGTTGGTGGTGGCAAGAGCCAGCTCTCATTGACATTGGTTTTCAGTGTTACGATTCTTCATTGGTGTTATATTGGTGCATTTCTGCTTTCTGGATACTGTGATACTATCTGGCCTTCAATGTTATTGTGTATGCTGGTCATTGTCATCTCGCTATTGCTCATTTTCCTTGCACTAGTCAGGGTGCTTATAAAAGGTTGTGGTGGTTCAACCCTGCTTTAACCCTGCTCCACACTTGTTTTAACCCTGCTTTAACCTCAGCTTAACCTCGTTTTAACCTTGCTGCTTTATCCTCCTTGCATCTTGTATTTTCGCCACCTCAATGACCCAGCAGAGTGATGCATGCAGGTTCAGTTAACCCATCACTAAGTTTAGGTCATCAACCATAGATGACGATGACGATGACGATGACGATGATGATGACGATGACAATGACAATGACGTTGACTATGATGATAACAACAATGATAATGATGGTGAGGAGGAGGTCGAAGAGGATAAGGATGAGGATGAGGATGAGGATAAGGATGAGGATGACGATGAGGATGATGATGACGATAACGATGACGATGACAATGACGATGAGGTAATATATGGTTCATCTTTGAGAAGAAGGGAAAGTCCGCATTCTGCGACAAAGGCAACACGTGTTTGCACATGGCATCTTCATGTATGTGGAGGAACCTCGGTTGTATGCATGATAACGGTAGGTCATCCTTTCTTTTTTTTTTTTTTTTTTAACAGTAGGTCGTCCTCATAACTTCCCAAGGAGAAGGATAAGAGGTAGTCCTAACTCGAAGGTGCAAAGGCATCTATTATCACACCGGCACTTCTCTGTTTGTATATAACCCGCGTCATTGTTATTGGCAAATTCAATCCAATCAAAGAAAGTCAAGGAGTGAGTATGCCCCGAACATATCTCAAGGACTACCTTTTCTGCAACTAAAATGAGCGAGAGTGATAGACAGAAAACCTAGGGAGATATTCCAGGCGCTCGGGTCCCGACGTCACGCCCGGTTTGGTAACCGGGTGACCGGCCGATCATGACCCCCGTGCATGGGCCCGGGCAGGCCCAGCGTGAAAAAAAAAAAACAAAAAAAAAACAAAAAAAAAAAACACTCCAAAAAAATCTGATGAAAAAAATATGTTGTGTAGAATTGCAATACAAACAACTTTTTTTTTTTTTCCCAAGCCGGGAACAGGGCCCAGCATCCCTTATATTACAGAGCCAGGAATCGGGCCTGGTGTCCCTTACAAAAAAATGAAGTTTCGCGGTCCTGTTTGAAGGCGTGACATCACCGGTCAAGCCCAAAAACTGGACCGCATCACACCGGTATGCACAATCTTCCTAGCAGAAAACCAAATTTCTCCAATCCACGCGTCAGACCCCCCCGGGCATCACTCCCGGGTGACCGGCCGGTCCAGACCGGCCAATCATGACAATCTTCCTAGCAGAAAACCAAATTTCTCCGATCACATTGAAGATCAGATAGTCGTGTCCCAAGCAGAAAGCAGAATGCACTGACATACAAGCCAAATAAGAACAATGCAGTGAACTCTATGTCAATGTTAGCCTCTTCTCACCACCATCAACAGTGTATCCAGTGCCGCCCTTCTTGATTGGCACTCAGCGTCCAGCCTACCTCTACTGAGAACCTATACTAGCCTACAGCTAATGAAGATGCAACCAGGAATCACTCCCAGCTTATACATGCCCAGTCGGGCAATGTATATGGAGCCAAGGATCCACATAGTGATGAAAAGGACTAGAATGGGCAATGCAATGTCAGCAAAGTATCAACAAGCAATGTACATCCCGATACATACAAAATGGCACAATGTAGCGCAGTGGAAGACTCAAAGATATGAACTGACCTGTCTGAGACTGACGCGACATCCCATCATACACTGCACATGTGAGAGAAGGAGGAGGGACCGCAAACACAGAAAAAAGGTCCCTCCTTGCACACGCACATGGGGGAGATACCAAGGATGAGAGATGGGGGGAGAGGCGAGATGAAGATGGAGGCGAGGGAGAAGACCAAGATCGTGATAGCGAAGTCCAAAAATAGTCCCTTGCCGAATGTCCAACCAATGTCTGCCACAGGAATGTCGGATCAGATCTTGGGCAAAATGCCCGATGTAACCTCTGCCTGTTCTCTCTCTCTCTCTCTCTCTCTCTCTCTCTCTCTCTCTCTCTCTCTCTCTCTCTCTCTCTCTCTCTCTCTCTCTCTCTCAAGAAGAAGAAGAAGAAGAAGGTAAGAGGGAAAGAGATGGAGAGCGAGACCAAGAAGAAGAAGAAGATGTCCTCCTCCTCGCTGTCTCACCTGCAGGTAACTGCGGCCTGGTACTGACGGTCGTCGTCGTCATGTGCAGGTCGCTGCTTGTGAAGTCTCAGCTATGGCGCCAGGTAAGTCGCACCGCTGCAGGTATGGCCTCCGCCAGATCCCCTACCCACGCCTCTACTCTAACGCAATGCTGTCGCGCTGCTCCAGTAGCCAGGCGTCGGGCCAAAGTGTGCCCCCAGGCCCGTTCAGATAGCGGCCTGGGACCAGAACAGTTAGGTCACGGTTAAACCACCGGTACCTTTCCCCGCTTGAAAAAAATTGTCGCGGCCGTTAACACGGAAATTTGTTACCGCCGCAAATTCTCTGCCGGGGCCGGCCACGTCGCTTCGATTTTTCATGGCGAGCAGGGTGAATTCGGCCCCGCGGCCGATATATGGGAAAG